TAACTTTAGTAGAGTCAGATACGGTAGTAGTCGGGGTAGTGGTGGTTTGATTTCCGCATTGAGTTGGGGTAGTGGTACAATCCGAGGGTTGCGAAGGCGTTGTAGTTTTGTCTAAAATAAATAAAAAACCGTCGTAATTCATTTCCTATTAATATGCTTCCTTTTCTGAAAAAATTTTTACAAAGAAACTCACTAGCTTGAGGACAGAATTCGCAAAATAATCTTGGACGCATGCGATGAATGTTTAAATGAACGTTTCTCAATTCAAAAGTCGTATCCTCGCCGCAGAAAAGATGACATAAAAAATCTAAATTTCCAAACCTTAAATTTTTTAATCTATTCAATTTCATACGTTCTCCATCGACCTAATAATAATAATAATAATAATAATAATTAAAACAATAAAATAAAAAAAAATCTTTCTTAACAAATAAATCAAAAAACATTTGTTTAATAAACAATATGTCACGCTATTAAAAAAAACAAAAGAAGAAAAAGTTTTTTGTATTTTCATTTTTTTTGCAAACCGGAAACGGAAATACATACTACTCGAATCCTCATAAATTTTTTTAATTATTTAACCGTTGTTCAATTTTTAAAATTTTCAATTCCAAATTTAAATTTAAATTTGTTTCAGAAAAAAACGTTACTCGTTGCTCCTTCATTGACTCACGTAGTCATTTCAAAAAAATAATAATTTTCTTCTGCTTTTACATTTCGTCCTGTCGTTAATACTTTTTTTTTTCGTAATCAAACGAATATTTTTCATTTTTTTTAATAACATCCCAAATTAAAATAAAATAACAAAATTAAAAAATTTTTTATACTCACGTTAATTGAATAAAAATTCAAAATGGCGACGAATAAAATGGTAACAACAGCAAATCGATTCATTTTTGAATTGTTCGTTTGTTCGTTTGTTTTTTGTGAAATTCCAATAGTTTTTTTTTAAACAACACTGGAAAATTGTCTGACTTTATTTTGGGAAAGTCAATCTTATATATATATACGAGTTAAAATCAAAAAAAAAAAAAAAAAAAAAAACAAAATGGTTACCGTGACCTAGCTAATGAAGATTTCTTTGTTATTGTAAATTGTTAAGAAAGTGAACCTGATAAAAAGTTATTGTTTTTCCTGACGTTGCATAACAACAACAACGACAACATCATCATCATATCCCTATTTCTTTTTAAAAACACTTTTTTTTTTCGTTATGAATAAAAATTCCTGTTTTTGTTTTACTATTTAATTATTATTTTTCAATATCCTGGATTTGAAATAACTTTGGATTTTCCACAAGGTCTCACACCGCCCTCTAAAAATCATAAATTTTTTTTATTTTTTTTTATCTTTTTAAAATAATGAATGACACACACACACACAATTTTTTTTTTGTTTTTTCTTAACGATTGATGCAATGGGAGAATTTCTGTCGTAATTGCTTTTTTTTTCTCTTTTCTCTATTATCAAACGTTTGCATAATTAAAATAAAAAAAGCTTTTTCTGTACATTTTTCTTATCAGCATTATTATAAAAAAATTTTTTAATCTTACCCAAGAAAGATTTTTTATTTGTTCTTTTTTTTAACTTCCACTTAACTTGTGTGTATAAAAGCTTCTTTCTTTTTTTTTTTAATAATGTGTGTTCACAATTCTGAAAACATAAATAATATTCATGTTTGAGTTTATTAATAGTTATTGACAATGGTCATGCTAAATTATTTCAACCAATAACACACACAAATATGATTTACTTGATAATTTTGATTTAAATAAAAAAAATAAAATCATTTTGACATTCATATTGTCATTAAAACTAATTATGCTTAATTTTACAATTATTATTATTATTATCAAGCATCCTTACCATGCAGGCATATTTATATTATAGAGATTAAAATGATTAAACAAAAAACATATCAGGAGTTTTTTTTTATGTAATCATTTTCATTACTGTTCAGTCAAATGAGAATCCATGATATGTTACTCCTACATGTGTTATTTTCATTCGTTGTGCCTTTTTCAGGTTCGTTTTCTGTTTATTCATTTCCTTTTGATGTTTTAAAGTATGTGTGATAAGAATTGAAGTTGTATAAAAACATAATTTTATCCTTAATCCCATTTGACTTTATTCACACAGTTGAACTACATATATGTATATGTTAGATTCTTATATGAATTTTTCCTCCTTCTGAAATTCAGAAAAACATGTTTTATTTAGGAAATATCGAACATTACAAACCATTTGTTTATAAATTAACAAATAATAAAATCGTTCGTTTCTTCTTCATTTGCCATTTACATTTTTTTTCAGGATTTTGTTGGAATTTTATTCGTTACAAACGTATTCAAAATGGCGGACGAATATTAATTAACTCTTTCGAATCGAATCATTTAATGGCGTTAATTTGAATCATAATATTTATAATCATCACGTTCGTCGTAAAAAAAAAAAAAATACTTAAAGTTTTATTGATTTCATTTACCTTTGTATTAAAATAATCATTATAAAAAAAAGCAATTAAAATAAATTTCCATTTTGTAAAGATTTGATCCTTGCAAAAAAATAAATTTTAAAATTATTACGTAATAATAATAGTAGTTATTTTCACCGCTGAGCGGCGCTCGAAACGCTCATGTTTAACAATCATGCGTCAACGTAAAATTTTTAAAATTTCGTTCCGGAACGTCGCGGTTCGTTATTTTTTAAAAAAATTAATAAATTTATGGAAAATAAAAAAAATTTTTTAAAAAAATTTATAAAAATGAATGAAATAACGTTCGATAAGGAAGGAAAAGGGTAGGAATATAAAATAAAATAAAATGATAAATAAAAATCGTTAAATTAATAAAATTTATTTAAAAAATAAATTGACATTTTGTTTTGTTTTGTTTTTTTTTACTTTTACTTAATCATTTTCTTTTTTTTTGTTAAATTTTATGCATTTATTTATTTATAAATGATAATTAAACAATTTTTACCAAAATAATAACATAATCAATCTCAATATGATCATCTCCCTCGCTCTCGTTCGCACAACTTCACAATTCAAAAAAAAAAAAAAAAAAACAAATCAAAATAAAAAATAAAAAATTTATTCACTTTTAATTTATTATAATAATAATAATAATAATAATAATTTAAAAAAAAAAAAAAAATTCGTTCGACGACTGGCAATACCCACATCATCATCATCATCATCATTATTATTATTATTATTACATTTTAAATCAAAACCAAATCATTGATGAAAACGTAGGGAGAAGAATATAAAGCAAAAAAAAAAAAAAAAATTTTCATGTTTAACTTATGAAAATAATTTTATTAATTACTCGAAGGAAATTCTCATCAATAAAACAAAAAGGTTTGTTCATATCGATCGATATAATCGATAATAAAATTTATTATTATTATCATCATTATTATTATTTCCTCCTTTGAAATTTAAATTAACGGTTACAACAAAAACGTGGAGACACAGAAAAAAAAAAAAAAAAAAAAAAAAAGGAAAAGGAAAAAAAAACGGAATAAAATATGTGAAATTATCATTATCATCATCATTATTATTATTAATAATTTATACTTGAAAGCATTTTGAAATCGTACGTTAAAAAAAAAAAATTTTATTTTATTATTCCTCACCTTCCCCTCCTTTTCCCCTTCCTTCCCTCCCCTCCACTCAACAAAACGTACTACACGAAGCTAATAAAGCAGACCGACTGTTCGATACATCGATCGATGTATCGATTAAGACAATAAACAAACCGTCACGCCCTCCCTTATCCATCGTTCGAACTATCCTGCGGTAATATTTAAAAACTCTTTTTATTTATTTATTTATTATTATTATTATTATTACTTGAACACGCCCCCCCCCACCGGAAAAATAAAATTTTTTCTTTTAAATTTTCTCCGCCAAATATAATTAATAATTAGAAAGGAAAAAAAGGAGGAAAAAAAAAAGGAATAAAAAAAAAAAAAAAAAGGAGCGAGTGAGAGAGAGAGAGAGATAGAGAGAGATAGATGGAAAAGGATCATCAACAAATCTTCTCGGATTTAGCTGAGTAATACTTGAAAAGTGACTTTTTACCATGGACGGACAGGTAATGATCGTAGGGTATAAATTTTTTTCTCCACCTGCAAAATCAAAATCAAATTGATTAAAAAAAAATAATAATAATTTTTTTTTTTCGTGACGTCACTTCATACATAATATTAATAATAATAATTATTATTATTACATGTACGAATTAATATAAAAAGTTTATACAACAACAACAACAACCGCAACAACAGCAACAGCAACAACCAATAAAAAAAAAAAAAAAATAATTTTTTGACGTATTCATTTTTAATCAATTATTAAATCTATCTATCTATCTATAGTGTAAATAATAATAATAATAATAATAATAATAATAATAATAATAATCAATGTGTTTGTGTGTGTGTGTCTGACCAACAACTCAAAATTATCTTAAACTGAATTGAAAAGAAAGGAAGGACAAAGACAGAGGGATTTAAAGGAAAATAAAGGGAAAATGAAAGAAGAGAGAGAGAGAAAGAGAGAGAGACAGGGAGAGAGACAGGGAGAGAGAGAAAGATAGAGACAGGGGGAGAGAGAAAGAGAAAGAGAGAAAGAGAGAGAGAGAGAGAGGGAAAGAGAGAGAGAGAGAGAGAGAGAGAGAGAGAGAGAGAGAGAGAGAGAGAGAGAGAGAGAGAGAGAGAGAGAGAGAGAGAGAGAGAGAGAGAGAGAGAGAGAGAGAGAGAGAGAGAGAGAGAGAGAGAGAGAGAGAGAGAGAGAGAGAGAGAGAGAGAGGGAGAGAGATAGAGAGAGAGATAATTACAAATCAATATTTTAAATTTTCATTTAATTTTGTTTTTGTTTTTTTTTTTTTAAATGAAAAATGAAAAAAACAACTTAGTATTATGAGTTGGAAGTCGTCTGTACTGTTTCCCCCCTAAGCTAGAGAGAATTTCCTTCGAGTAAGAGGTTGGCTTCACCGAGATAAAGAATGGCTCCTTTCGCGGTCGTCTTCGCTGAGCCTTTGATGCGGTGGAATTTTGTCGAAAAACGGATGCCTGAGAGCATCGCCCAAACATATTCTCTGACTCGGATCGTATTCTAACATTCTCTGCATCAAATCGAATAATTGTGCGTGTTCTTCGTCGTCGGCTGCCTGATACCTCTGCAATAAATAAATAAACAATCAAATCCGTTTGTTTGTTTGTTTGTTTGTCGACAAAGCACATCCTCCTCGCACATCCTTTCGAAAAAAACAGAGGAAAACTCACGTGAAGGGGTTTACAATTTTCTCTAACGTATCTCCCCGCGCAACTCTTATCGTCCCAATCCAATTTTCCGTGGTAAAAATATTTCGTTTTGGTTTTTCTAGCCATTCTGTAGGGTACGGTACCTAGTATTCTTTCCATCATAGCGAGATGCTCTCTGTTGTCGTGAGTTTGAAACAACGTTATACCCAAATACAATTCGAACATGATGCATCCGATTGACCAAACGTCACACGGTTGAGACCATCCTAATTCTGCAAAGAGAGAAAGAGAGAGAGAGAGAGACAGAGAGATGAAATCGATGGTGTACTTCATCATCACGATTCACTTTTCTAATTTTCACTCACCTAAAATGACTTCGGGAGCTCTATAATGTCTTGTTGATACTATTGTACTGTGGTGTTCGTGATCAAATGTCGCACTACCAAAATCTATTAATCTAACATCCGAACGTTTCACCCTTTTGACTTCTCTTTTCTGAAAATTTTAATCATTATCATTATTCATCAATTATTGTAATGAACAAACAAACAAACTCCGACAAACGCAACAATTTGAAACTTACCTTTTTAGCATTGTATATGGTTTCATAGCTGGAATCTACAAACAATATGTTCTCGGGTTTGAGATCTGTGTGTGTTAATTTATTATCGTGAAGAAATTTCACTGCATAACATAACTGATAAGTGATATGTCTCACATGTTCTAACGGATACGGTTGATAATTGTTGTCTTTCTGTACGTACATATAGATAAAATAAAACAAAATGAAATTATTACATTCAAACATAAACATAAACATAAACTAGTCTTTCAGAATTTTGGGTTGGCCAGTAACAGTAACTGCGGATTTTCCCACCAACAGATAGTTTGTCCATGTTTTTGAGTACGTTCGAGTACATTCAGTACCGAAATTTCATTGACATCTTAGTAAATAGTACGCGAGCAAAAGACGGTTAAAGCCAATGGGGAGCCAAAGCGAGCGAGCGAGCATTTCCTCCACATTTTCTTTTTGAAAGGGTGTTGATGCTTCACGAGCCAATAAAAAGTTGTGGGCCGGCCGTGTAGGGGGATGAAGCCCTAATAGAACGACAGTGTCAGTGTCCGTTCTGGAGATTTTCCTTTGATAAAAGAGGAGCCCGCACTCCGGGCGTCCATTGGAGGTCGATGAAGACCCTCATTGATTATGATCGGTATAGTTTGACAAAGGACATTGCAAAGAAGCTAGATGTGTCACATACGTGCGCCAAAAACCATCTCCGGCGTCTTGGGTGCCATAAGAAGCTTGATACTTTGGGGAGCGTAAGACAACTTGGTCTTTGCGATATGCTTGTTAAACGCAATGACGCGAATGACCCTTTTTTGAAAGAATGGTAACCGGAGATGAAAAGTGGGTTGTCTATGACAATAGTGGGATTACAAAGGGATAGTCTACTTTGAGCTGTTGCTGCCACGAAAACAGACCATAAATTCAGAGGTTTAAATTGAACAATTGACAAACTTAAATGATACCATCCAAGAAAAACGACCGGAACTAGCCAACAGCAAAGGAATTGTCTTTCACCACGATAATGGAGGCCAGGCCCTCCCCATCTTTAGCCACTGGAGCTAGGCTGGAATGTTTTGCCTCACCCTCCTCTTATAGTCCCTACCTAGCTCAAAGTGAGTATCATTTGTTCCAAAACGACAATGAGGTTGTCAAAACTGAATTGGACCAGTTTTTTGCTCCTAAAACTAAAGAGTTTTATGAAACATGGGATGATGATGCTACCCGAAAAATGTCTCAAGGTCATTAATAATAACAATTGACATATTATAATAGATTGTGAATAATTTGGCATAATTAATAAATCGCGCGTTCTTAGTTTCCTGAAAAATTCGTAATTACCTTTTTGCCAACCCAATAATAGATGTATATATATATGTAACTTACCAAAAAATCAAAAACGCTAAGACCCAACATTTCAAATCCTATACACACGTGACCACTCAAATCGAAATAACATAACATTTTAACAGTTAAACTGAAAAGAAAAAAAAAAAAAAAAAAAAAGAAAAGGAAAAATTAACAAAAATTTTCCAAAGAAACACGAGAAAAGAAAAGATGAAAATCGAAATCATTCATTTACTCACTATTTCCCATCGGGATCCTTTTCCGCTATTTTTTGTAAAGCATTTATTTCCAATTTGGCCGCTTCTCTGTATTTTCCAACATTTCTAATTACTTTAAGCGCGATCACGTTATCGCTGAAAACAAACAAACAAAAACAAAAGAGTTAGAAAATTAGAAAACCGTTACACGTAACGCAACCGTTAAAATTTGAATGTTCGTTTCGAACGAGCGAACTGTGGGATGCGGTTAAGAATGGGTTTGGGGGGATGAGTGACGTCGTACACGAACCGGCGACAAAAATACCCGTGTGAACCCCCTCTAATTTGGCAACAACGCTTTTGATTTTTGTGTGTACACACAATAAAAAATTGATCGCGAATGAAAAATATTATAATTTTTTTTTTTTTTTTTTTTTTGGATTACTCACGGATTATCGACATCCTTGACTTGAAGTACTTTTCCAAAAGTTCCCTCGCCCAACGAAGCCACGATTTTCCCTGTAATATTAACAATTGAAAAAAAATTATAATTTATGCTTTCAGGCTGTGCCAAGTTCGATCAAAACGGAGACGAACTCGAAAAATCCATCACACATTTCACACATTCACCCAACGACTTCGAAGGAAAGGAGACAGAAAATGGAGAAAACAAGAGAGAAAGAGAGAGAGAGAGAAAAATGTAAACTCTCCCCAAAAATATTTTTTCGGCGGACCTCCTTGTTCGTAATTAAAAAGAGTCGGGGGGGAAGGGGCGGAAAGAGAAAGAGGGGAGGGGTGAAATTTTTTTTTTCTCCCGGTAAAATCATTCGTCGTCTCCCTGATCGCTTCGCACAGCTTTCCTACGATAATAATAATAATTATTATTATAATAAATAAATAAATAAATAAAATTCTCTGTTTAATTAATATAAATATACGTATATAAAAATAAAAAAATATTAGGTAAATATAAGTTTTACGTATAAAATATATATATAAAATATATATGTATAATAATTAGTAGGTCTAATTGTAAAATATGTATATATATATATATTCATATACATATTCAATCAAGGCCTTATCATGCAAATATAATATATTTATGGGGCCTAACTTCGGTCTCTGATAAGTTATATAAAATTTATTTATTTATTTTCCTTTCCTTTCTTTCTTTTATTTAAATAATTTATTATTCATTTGTATGGGGTAATAAAACCTATCATATGTAAAAAACACTCGAGGCTTAGATATCTAAACGGGAAAGCCTCGAGATGGAGAGAGAGAGAGAGAGAGAGAGAGAAGAGCAACGGACTATGTGTGTGTATGTGTGTGTTAAATTGAAAGATATTTTATTATTCACGAACACTTGTTTGTGAGAACATCTCCAATTCTGTAAATGAGGTGTCCGTCTTCGTCGTCTTCGATGGTGGGCTCTCGTTCCCGCTCTCTCGAGGTCTGTCGAGGATAACGCCATTCGCCATTGGAGAACGACAAGGAAGACGTCACAGGAACACATCGGGCACCGGTCACGTTTGAACGCCACGGGGAAATCATTGATCATTGTCGACGAAAGACGAACGTTTCGGTGACGGGAATGACGATGTTGATGACGACGGTGACGACGACGACGACGACGACGACGACGAGAGACGCAACGTCGGTGACGGTGACGATTAGAAAGAAGACGTCAGCGATAGGTACGGAACATTGTACGAACGGCAGCAACGTCAGTCAATTCCACCAAGAGGCAGGATTCGCATCGGCCGACGATCGCCAAATGTGTGTCAAGGAGCGACCCAACAATCATAGACAAAGAGGGGAAAAGGCAAATTGTTTTGCCATCACAACAAACAACTAACAACTCACATATTCACCCGAGAAGCGAGAGATATTTAAATAAAAATTTATAAGAGTGTGACCAATGAAACTCGAGTTTATATATATAAAAAAAAAAAAAAAAAAAAAGTTTCGTTGGACACACTCCGGGAATATCACATTTTGTTCCTTGGACTCACCTTTTCCTTGCTGCCATTTTGAATCAATGTTTTTTTATTTTATTTTATTTTATTTAAAAAAAAATTAACTCGGGGTTGAGTTAATGCCAAATATTAAAAAAAAAAAAAAAAAATTGTTTGCCAACGACTTTTTAAAAAATGCGTTGAGAGAGGTTTCATTTATTATTATCATTATCATTATTTTAAATTTTATATTCTCTCTTATGTAAAAATTTAATTGAATTTTAAAACATCATCATCATCCAATATAACAAAATGTGAATTTTTTTTTTTTTTAATAAAAAAATATATATAAAAAGATTGCCAACGTTTTTTCTTTTCCTCCCCCCCCCCTCCCTCAATATTTGAAAAAATTTTATTTGCAATTGGCAAAATAAATATAGCAAATATTTATACGAATTCTCTAAAAAAAAAAAAAAAAATAAAGAAAAAAATTTTTGCCCGTCAAAATAATAATAATAATAATAAAAATGAAAAAATGATTAACCGTTATGAATATACACGGTCACCTGACTCCCATAAATAATTCCTTCTTTATTCTCCCCTCCGCTCCCCGCTCCCCGCTCCCACCCGAGAAAAATCGAAAAAAATCATTCGTTCGCCAGAAAATAACAAAAATTATTAATAATCGCGAACGTGAGTGATGAGAAAACAAATCGAACGATCGAAACAACAGCAACAGCATTAACAACAGCAAAATTTCTTTGTTAAAAAAAAAAAAAAAAAAAAAAAAAAAAAAAAAACCCAAAACAATTGGCAAAATTTTTATATAAAAGCCCTCCCCCTCCCTTCCCTCACCCTCTGCAAATTGCAAAAAAAAAAAAAACAAAAACAAAAAAAAAAACGAGAAAAAAAAGTCACGTGACAATCATACAGGTTTCGTCGTGTCGAAAGCAAGCAAAACAAACAAACAAACAAACAAACAAATCAACAACAAAAAAATTCCCGTCAAAATTTCATTTTCATTTTCTTTTTTCTTTTCTTTCTTTTTGTACGCATTTTGTTTTCACATGTTGAAACCTGTATTGTACGTCACGGAAATTAATTAATAATCAATTAATAATCAATCAATCAATCAATCATTTTCCATTAATTAAAATTTTTAAAAAATCCAACGGTCGAACCTAACAACAAGAGGATAACGATGATATTATTATTATTATTATTATAAAATTTAAAAAACTCGCCCGAATCATCAATCTTACCTTATGCAAAATGATAGGGAAAACGGGGGAAACGGGAGAAAGGGGGAGGGGGGAAAACAAACGGGAAACCTTTCAAGGTCAAAGAAGAGACAACGTAAAGAAAAGCTCATCTGATAAATTTCGTTATTAATGAGATCAACGACCTTCCTTTACACCTCTCCCCCCCTTCCCTCTCTTCCTCACCTCCCCCAACTTCTTCGGGTCATCAATACTTTCCCTTGAGGGGAAGAAAAGTGGGGGGGGGAAAGGCAAAAAACATTTTCCTTAAAGGGAAATAATTAACGAATTTCTCCGTTTCGAGTTGTGAGAACAAGTTTTGAAAAAAAGAAAGCTTGCCAGCCATGGCCACCACGAAGAGCAGGGAGAAGAGAAAAGAAGAGAAACTGGAAAAACAAAAAAAAGATTTATTTTTGTCAGACGGCGATGACGGTGGCGGTGGCAGTGGCGGCGGCAGGATTTAACGATGAGAAGAACAAATCAGCTGAGCGCATAAATATAAATAAATGAGAAAAAAAAAAAAATTAATTTCACTTTTAACGAAAAATCTTTGCTTGTTAAAGAGGGAACCACAATCGGGGAACCCCCCGGTGGGGGGCCTTTAATATATAAATAACGTAATTAACATGTGTCACGTGAGTCGAAAATGACGACGTAGTTTTTACTACTCACATTTTAAAATAAAAAACCCAATGCAAAAATAACGTTCCGAAAAAAATGCGTGGCTTCCAAAATGGCGGCTGCGTTTCTTTTTCTTTCTTTCTTTTTTTTTTTGTTTTTTGTTTCGTTTTCGTTTTATTTTTGTTATAAAAAAAAAAAAAAATTTGTTCAGTGCGCAAACCACACACCACCTACTCACGCCTGGCACTTTATCGCAAATCAAATTGCTCTGTTGTTGTTGTTGTTGTTGTCGTGATTTGGAGGTCATCGCAGATGTCGTCTGCTTTGTTGACACGTCTTTTCCTTTGCTTTTTTTCATTTTTCCACCGCTCAGTCTATTGTAAGCCTCGTCCAACATGGAGTATTTATTAATTAAATTTTGTATTTCTTTTCTCCTGACTTCTCTTTCCGTCGCGACCTTATCCGCGACGCTTTCTCCTCCTTCTCCTCCTCCTCCATCTTCGCACTTCTTTTCCTCCACGGATTTTCCCTCATCATCATCATCAAACTTGTCATCAATTTTTTTATCAATGTCAATTGAGCATATTTTCAAATAAGGCCTACTACTAGAAACGTTCAGAGATGATTTACTTCCGTCCGTCGTGCAAAGGGGTCCCGACTTTCGATAAGCCGGCATTAATTCGTCCTTGTAACTCCTGTGACGTCGAGATCTACACGACGACGATGATGATGATGATAATGATGGGTCTTCGCCGACACGGAACGGAGTTTTATCTCTGGGTGCTGCTGCTCCTGCCGCGACCCGGGGCGTCGCAACAAACGGATAAGCTTTTTCGCACAGCAAAACGCTTGCTGTCGTGCAACTTTTTGCCAATTCGTATTTCCTCTCCGTCGGGTATTGCACCCCCACCACTTTACTATTCACATCTTGTCTCTTTCTAACCATTTTATTTAAAACGTCAGAATATTTATCTTCTAATCTCATTCTCGTGCTTCCTAAAGAATTCAACAGAGTCGACGACGACGACGTCGTCGTCGTCGTCGTCGACTCTTCCTCTTCTTTCAATTTATTCCCAACCCTTTCCGGAGGACGAACCCGTTCGTCGTCTTTTTTAACATTTTTACTCTCTTTCGGATATATTTTACACGTTCGACTGAAATTCCCACAATTTTCCGTTTCCCTATTCACTTCTTCTATTCTCCGTTTGACAGACTCTTCGTTTATCCCACTTTTCAAATTTAAAAATTTTTCCGAATTGCTTTTGACGACTCCGTAAGAATTTTTCAAAACATCCGGCCAATCTCTCTTGGAATCTTTTCCCGCTTCCGTTTTGCCGTGTTCCTGCTCCTGATGCTGTTGCTGTTGCTGCTGTTTTTTGTCGAATTGTTTGGTTTGGTGATCGTAGGCGGAGTTATTAAATCTCGATCTCACATCCGAATATATATCGAAATAACTACGATTTTTCTGCGGATTATTCGATTCGACGACTTGCGAGGGACCCCTGACTCTCGTCGTCAATTTGTGCAATAAACTCGAGCAGGAATCAGTCAGATATTGTGCGATTGCGGTGTGAGTGCTCGAACGAGCGTACCTCCTCCTCGACGACGGAACATCCATTTCTCGATGTGTGAATTTCAAATAACTTTGTCAAAAATTATAATAAACAACGTAAAATATATGTGTGTGATACGTACGCACGCAGTTTTCCCAACAGGAAAAAACAAAAAAAAAAAATGATAATAATAATAATTATAATAATCGCACCAACACATCACTCGACTGCGACGACGACGTTTTTCAACTGACAAAAAAAAAAAAAAAAAAAAAAAAAAAAATCAGAGAAAAGCTGCTGCTGCTGCTGCTGCTACTACCAAGGCCAAAACATTTTCAGATATTGGCAAAATTTCCAACAGCAAACTAGGCCAATTTTTTTCTTTCTTTTTTCTTCTTCATTTTATTCTCATTTTCCATTCACGCAGGTAATAAAAACAAAAAAAAAAAAAAAAGTCACAACAACTCGCGACAATCCACCAACAATTTCATTCATTTTTTAAACCAATAATAATAATAACAAAAAATTCTACAGCGAAAAGAAGCGAAAAAACCAGAGAAAAATCTGGCTCGGCTAAGCTTTCGTAAAATTATTAATGTTAACCGACGTCCGTTAGACTGACGAAATAACGACCAATAATAATATCACCTTCTCCCGCTGTTGATTTTAAAAACTAAAAATAAATATTATCAACAAGAAATGAGCTGTCGTCTTGTTAAATCTCTTTTTTTTTCTTTCAGCTTTTTTTTTTTAATTTATTCTTTCGTTTTTAAAGAAAAATCAAAATGGCGAACGGTTTCCCCCCCTCCACCGTCCCTCCCCGCCATTTTCTTTTCCCCTTACCGGAATTTTTTTTTTTTCAATTTCGTACAATTCAACAAATTCTGAAGGTGAGCCAAAGAGCGAAAATTAAAAAAACAACAGCAGCAGAGGGAAAAATTCAAACGTGAAAATCGGGAATATTAAAAATAACCCAAAAAAAATTTTTTTTCTCTCTCTCTCTCTCTCTCTCTTCGAAGGAAAACAGTCGAACAACAGCAGAATGAAAATTTTGTTTTTTTTTTGTTTTTCGTATTATTTTACCCAAGAGAGAGAGAGAAGAAGAAAGGAAGAAAGAAAGAAAGAAAGAATTTATTAAATCTCATCCGCAACAGAAAAAATCAGATTCGGATAAACAACAACAAACGGGGTCACGACCCACAAACATAAAAATAAAATCATTTCAACAACGTTTTGTCGCTACAATAATAATAATAATAATAATGACGAAAAACAAAACAAAAAAAATGTATTCAAAACTCGAATCAACCGCACGCACGCACGCGCGCACACCCACACCCACACCCACACCAGCTCAACACGAACCTTTCCGCGATCCCTCCCCCTATCCCCCACCACTTCCCCCACGGGATTGATCTGGAACGCAGAAAGGAAAACCTTCTTCCTCTCCGACTCGACTTCTACGTCACATTATTATTATTATTAAATCGAAAGAGCAATGTTTTTTTTTAAATTATAATTTAACCTTCACTTCTTCGACCCCCCCTCCTCCTCCTCCTCCTCCTCCATCCTTCATTCCTCTTCCTTCCCTCCATCTTTCATTCCTCTCACATGCAGTGTAGCAGTGGGGTCGTCGTGGAAAGCGAAAATTATTCATTCATTAATCATTTCTAATAGAAAAAGTGTTGTTGTTGCCGTTGTTGTTGTTACTCCGAAATATTAATTTAAATATGACTCATATTCCCGCCGTTTTTTTAAAAATTGTTCTCCATTTACGAATTCTTGCTACTATCTATAGCCACGTCGACGTACGTCGTTAAAACAAAAAATAAACTTGCGTCAATTTATATATATATATATATATATATATATCCATACACACAAAAATTTTCTTAGACTTTTTATTTTATTTTGTTATATTTTTTGGCAACAAATAATTGCGTTACGATTTACAAAAACAAACAAACGAAAATCGTCCATTTTTTTTTCTTTTTATCCAGACATTATCCCCATCGCACACACACACACACACACACCGACAACAGGCAATCTATTTAAAGTCATCTTTCGGTTTTGAATCATCAATCAAAAAAAGAAACAAAGTACGTAGTCTGTCTGCTGCTAAAGGAGATGCTTTTCTTCCATTTTTTTTCGTTATGCAATCCGATTCCTACTTGGCGACATTGACCCAAATATTCCCTCCGGTGATTTTTCTCAACCTGACGACAGGTTTTCGTCCAGACATCATCCTTCGAATCTCACAACCAAATGAGGCTTAAAAAAACAAAGTTTTAAGCACGTATGCACGCACGCATTCATACGTACAAAACGCAAAACGTATTTAAAGTTCTCAAGTGCGCCAAATATTTATTTTTATAAATAGAATTTTATAAAAAAAATTTTCCACCAACGACTTTTTCTCTCTCTCTCTCTCTCATTAAAAAAGTTTTTCTTCTATTCATCGTATAAATAAATAAAAGCAAGAAAAACAACAACAACAACAGCGACGACGACGACGACGTATTGGCGGTTTGTTTCTCCTAAATTAATGTTTACAAAAAAATTTTTTTCCCCCTTTGCAATGTAATTTAAAGGGGGGAGGGGAGAAGAGGGGAGGAAAAAAGTTCGAAAATGCATTTTTCAAACGCAAAATGAATCCGTATGAAATCAGAGGAAATGAAGCTTTAAACCTGACAGCAACTCCGCCATATTTTTTTTTCAACCGACTCATACGAGAGAGAGAGGGGGGGGAATTTATCCGATGAGCTTTTCGTATTTAAAAAGGACGGGGGTGGGGGAGTTTTCTTTTCCTCAGGTTTTTCTTCTTGGTTCTTCTCCCTTTCGATTTTCCGATTAAAAAAAATCTTACCTCGAACGTATGATTCTGATTCCAAGCCAAATCAGATTTAGGTGCGTCGACCACGGGCCACCATTCGGAGGGTAAATACGTCATGAGCGGTTTGGGTAAATTATTTTTTTCCTCTCCCAATTCCCGATCGGGAAAATAAGGCACTCCGAGGAGGATTTCAGGTTTTACGGGATGACTTTCGACCGGGCAGAATTTTTCCTCGGATTTGGACGTTTTCTTATTGTGATTTTCGTACAGGGATTCGAGTCTTTCCAATTTGACACCACCGTTCGATATTTTATTGTCGTAAAACGATTCCATTCTTTCGAGTTTTCCCTTTTCCTTAGGGGGGGCGGCAGCGGCGGCGGTGGCGGTGGCGACGACGACGGGTCTCTTCGAATACGGTTCCCGTTCGAATTCCAGGTACTCGGCGAACGGGTCAGGCTCTGATTTCACGTTGAAATCGTAATAAGATTCTATTCCTGAATTTTTACGAGTATCACAAAAAATTGTTTTCGTTTCCTCTCCTCCGGGGAATTTCATCCCGTCCTTCGACGTGTTCGCATGAGGAGGATCCGACCTGCACATCCTTCCAATTTCTTTTTTAGGTCCTTTACTCCTCTGCTTGAGAAGCATATCGTCGTGTAATTGATTTAATACGTCGCAGTACGATTGATCCAATCTGTAAACTTTTTGTTTGTTTTTTTCATCATCCGTCGATGACGATTTGGCTTGTTTCATTTTTCTTTTTCCACCCTCTTTATCACCTCCTCCTCCCTTTCCTTTACTTTTCATCCATGAATAATTTCCCTTGTGTTCGGATGAGAATATTTTTTTAACGGATTGACTACAGGAAACGTCTTCGTTGTCGCCATCTTCATCTTCTTCTCCTCCTCCTCCTTCGTTTTCATATTCTATGTCATTTTTCAACGGCATAAAAGACGAATCCTTTTTTTGCTTTACGCAACATCCGAAATTCTTCATTCTTTCCCTGGACGTGACGGGAGTGAAGGGAACGCTCGATAACGGGATTTTAAAATCATCCCGACTATCGTGAAGTCTGTCGAAATTCGCGGGTAGATTTTTAAAAGAATTGTCTGGAGTTATTTCTTCGGGTGATAAAGCGGTATAAGAAAACGGCTTTGAGGGACTCACGACGACACAAGGTTTACCCTTTGGATTTTTCTTGCAATATTCCAAGAGATCGACGAGGCGAGAAGAAGGTTTTTTTAACTTGGAAAGGTCATAAGATGATTCCGATGACTTCCCACTTGAATTGACATCTTTCATTGGCACAGAATCAAAATTAAGCAAATTTTTCAAGCTCGAAGATTTTTCTTTGATATCACTTGATGATGGGTTAATTACGTTCAAATTTTTATTACTCGAATCGCTTTCCTCCATTTTATAATTCTCCGCCGCCGCATTTGCGTTTTTTTCCCATTTTCCAACGTTTTCATCATCATCATCCGCGACGACATCGGGGATTTCGACGGAAAATTTCCCAATTAAATTTTTGTCCGGAGAAATGTACGCTTTCGATACGTAGAAATTTCCACCCTCGTCATTTTTAAAAAATGGACATTTGTACCTGTTGTAAAATTCTTCCAGTGAATTTTTACGATTTTCCGTGTCCGTGCTCAAGCTGTCCAAGGATGATTTCCGATGGTGCGAAAACAAATTGGAAGACCCTTTGCTCCTCTTTGACCCTGTTTCCCTCACGGTTCCGTATAGATTTTCCGGAGTCGAAATTGACAGAGCGTTCGAATAACACAGCGGCTTCCTAGTTTGATTCATTAGTTGATCGTGTTTTCGATCCGTCATCACGGAATTGTTTCCCAAAGAGTTTTTCATTTTCGGCGTGTTTATAATGTCTTTGAGGGGAGAGGGTTCGACGACAGGAGGGGGATAAGATTGCAACATTTTCTTGACTTCGTTTACTTTATCGTTGATTTCATCCGCGTTGACCGTATCCTTGAGTTGTAAAAATTCCGGCGACTTTGTATACTTTTTCAATACGTGTTCCGTTTCCTGCTCCCGTTCTTCTTCTTCTTCTTCATCCGCATCGAATATTTCCTTACATTCCGTCCCGTCGTCTCCGCTTGCACCGATCGGACGAAAAGAATGCAATTGAAGGTACGGATAGGGTTCTAGGGAATTCCCCGTCGGTTTCTTCGGAAACAATTGAATTCTGACGGTGCTGCTTTGAATTTTCTCTGGATTTTTTCCCTCGTCGAATTGAACGGAATAACGTTCCTCCGAATCATCGTTTCCTCTCATCGGTGAAGAATGAAGAGACTCCGATGGTTTATTATTCGAACTCGTGCTTTTACGAGAAGAAGAAGAATGAGGAGGAGGTAGGAGAAAATACGAGTCTTGTTTCGGATGTTGGATTTTTTGATCCGGGATGAGATGATGATCACACGATATGTCGGACAGGGATGACGTTGAATTTTTTAAACGAACGTGCGACGTGTACATGATGAGATTTTCAGGTTCTTTCACCGGGGATTCATTTAACGGAGTCAAAAAAATCCCCTCGTCTTCCGCGCTCTTCGGTGGACTATTTAACGGCGTGTGATAACTTCCACAAACTTCGCAATTTTCACTAGAGTCCGACGACGACGACGACGACGACGACAACAACACGGATTTCTCACGTGAAAAATCTATTTCATCCATATCAAAAAAAAAAAAACCAAACGATCATTCATCGTCAATTGAACTATTGAGAAGAAGAAGAAACAAAAAAATAAAAATCCATGGTTTCGCGGCGTATACGTAAATCACTCGACACAAAACTTTTCGATAAAAAAAAATTATTAATTTTTACATAATACAATTTTTTTTTTTACACGAATATAAAACTTAACCGTGTAACCATTGTCCAACTTTCGATCGACAATAAAGAAAAAAAAAAAAAAATAACGAAAAAAAAAAAAAAAATTAAAAATAAAGAAAAAAAAAAAAAAAAAAAAATTCAAGTTTATAAAAATTAGATTTGAGATGAACTCAAGCCAAAAACTGTGACGACGATGCTTCAACAAAAATAGCCAATGTTAGATCCCACAAATAGCTCCACAATCGTGTATGTTATCAAAATGCGTTTGAAAAAAAAAAAAAAAAATTTCATAGGGTCATTCGGATAAATAAATGTTTAACAATTTTTCATAAAATCAACAACAACAACAACAACAGCAGCAGCAACAGCAGCAACAACAGCATCCCTACTTTTTTTTTGTGCTTTTTTCTTTCTTGAACATACGCGCCAAAATGATTATTTTCTTTATTAACCTCCCCTCTCAGGTCATTAACACACACCTTGCCTTTTCAAAAGTTCTTTGTTTTCCCTCTCTCTTTTCTCTGCCTCCCCCCCCTCTCTCTAAATTATTTTACATATGCCTTTATTTACGTAATACAATATTTTTTTCACTACGCTTTAATTTTCATCCTATTAAACGTAAAGAGATTGATTTCAATACAAAAAATCGATTTTCATTCAACGTGAGAATACGACAGACTTTTTCCTTTCCCTTTTTTCCTTTTTTCTTTTTTTAATGCACAATTTTTGAACTTTAGCCGCAAACGATATAAAACAAATCGATCGATCAATCAATCAATCAATCAATCGATCGATTTTGTTGTTGTTGTTTTATCAATTTATCCTCTATACAAAAATATTCCTTTTTTTTTTTAAAAAAAATGCTTTTTAACTAACATTTTCCTCGTTGAAAATATTCGTTTTCACGTAATAATAATAATAATAATAATAAGTCTACGATAAACAACCAAAGGGTTCAAAGTTCAATTCGATTTTCATACACAAGAGATCAAACCACAATTTAAAAAGCAAAAATTTCGCACGTTGCAATAAATTTTTTATATATAACTTTTAAAATGAAACAATTCATAAATTATAATCCGCCCCCCATTCCCATTCCCATCCCCAATTCCCCCACCCCCACCACCCCTATAATAAATGCTTCGTGATTTACGTAATCCATAAATATTTATAAAGATATATTTTTTTCACAATTCGTTTAAATATCGGAGGGAGGGGAGGGGGGAGGAGCAATAAATTAAAAGATAATCTCGTTTTTTTATAACTATAACCCCCTATTAACTAACCACCTCCCCAAAAAAATTTAAACCGGGGGATATATTTTAAATTTAAACCGAAAATTTTAAATACAACAAACTTTTCTGCAATTTTCAAGCTTAGCTTATGATAATATAAAATTTTTTTTTTTAACCCTGACGTTTCATCAAAAAGGTAATTTTTACTTCCTTACAAATACCCCCCCTTTTTCTTTTTATTGTTCCCCCTCCCCCCCCGATTGGATCGTCGAAATCAAAATCGATTCATTATCAAAATTAATATTGAAACCTCTCGACGCATTTTCATCGTGGCGCCCCCCCCCCAAAAAACCGACAAATTTAAAACTTATTTAACAACAACAAGAAACAAAATGGCAGCAAGTTTTATACCTAATCCTTTTCGAACGTGTATATATATATATATATATGTGTGTAATTAATAAATGCGTATTAAAAAATGCTAATTGATTCTTCAATACTATTTTCAAAAGAAGACTAAAAAGCATTTTTTAATTACGAAGGAACAAAACAAAACAAAACAAAAAAAAAATGAAAAAGAAAATGAAAGAAAAAGAAAAAAATTTTTTTTTTTTTTTTTTTTTTTTTTTTCGGTCAAAACATTTACGCTTATTAAAAAAAAAAAAAAAAAAAAAAAAAAAAAAAGAATTTAAAATAAAAAAATAAAAAAAATGTTGATGATGATAATAATAAATAATAATAATAATAAAAAAAATCGAAAAATGGACTCACGTCTCTTGATGTGTACGATCGTCTACCACCATCCTCTTGTTCACGTCCCTTGTTCGCGTCCCTTTCATCCCTATCCCTTTCCCTTTTCCGATCCCGGTCCCGGTGCCTGTGAGACGTGTGAGTGGAATGATGTCTTTTGTAACGATCCCGGTTCCTTTTGTTTGAATTAGGCGAACGCCTGTGACTTCTCTTGTACCTTCTTTCGGCACTTGTGTTCCTTTCGTGTTGTCTCGAACGTTGATTTCGTTCATTACTTTTCGTCGAAACCGGAAACAGAAAAAATTCAATTTGATTTTTTTCCCAACAAACAAACAAACAAACAAACAAACAAATATAACTTTTGTGAAGAAAAAGCAGCAAAAAAAAAAAAAAATTAATTAATAAAGTCAACAACAACAACAATAACAATATAACCAATTTCATCATTAAAAATTTGATAGAAAAATAATAATAATAATAATAATAATAATAATAATAATAATAATAATACTGAGAGAAAGTGGAGTTAAACGAGATTTAACAAGTTTTGATAGTATTATCATTATTAATTTTTCTTTTTCTTCTCCTTCTCCTCCTCCTCCTCCTCCTCCTTCTTCTTCTACTTAAAAACAAAATAAAATCAAGTAAAAACAAAATTAATATTATTATTATTATTATTCAAGGTCAACGATCTACACACAATGTAAAAAAAAAAAAACGGTTAAAGCCGTAAATAAGTAAATAAATAAATAAATAAATAAATTGAGCATTCATCGGATTGTTTAACACAAATATCACTCCAAGCCGAGACCAAAATAAAATAAATTAAAATTAAATTACAATTAAATTAAAATTAAATTAAAATTAAAATTAATTAAAAACCAGGTTATAACCAGAAACCAGCCAGCAGACCTTTCGGGATTTACAGTCAAATTCAACAAAGAAAATTTTAGTGTGAAAGGCATCGAATAATAATCACAAACTGAAAAATATATTATTATAGAATTTTTTTTTTTTTTTTTTTCCTTACAATTTTCTGCTTGTTTGATAACCTTACGACATTTTTATTTATTTTTTTTTTTTTTATATATAGAGATTTATATTAAATCGTGTCGCACAATCATCGAACGTCATGTTTTTTGTCATAAGCGGTTAAAAATCAAACCCAAATGATATTACTCACTCAATAATTAACTTACTCAATATAAATAAAACAAACTGATACGGGCATTAATAAAATTTTAAAAAAAAAACAATACAAAAAAAAAAAAATTTTAATAATCAATAAAAATTGTTATTACGAATGAATTGATGAGAGAGAAAGAGAGAGAGAGAGAGAGATAAACACATTCTCACTTCGACATTTATTAAATTTAACTAAAGAATTCATTAAAAAATTACAATCTCAATCCATGTGATACCCCTTCTTCTTCTTTTTATAACTACTGCTACTACCACCACTACTACCAAAACCTGAGTTGTGTATAAAAGTTATGCCGCCATCTTGATTTGATTCTTTCGATTATAAGCCAAAAAAGTTTCAAAATGAGTGATTCGATATTTCATGACTGATAATTTACAATATTGTATAAAGCAAAAGATGAAAAGCAGTTAAATTTTTGAGTTCGAAATGTGTTATCAAATTTTAACATGGGAGTTTAATTATCCCTACAAAATATTTACAGATATGGTGTTTAAAAAAAAAACACAATTTGAATGAATTCGATTATGCTCAACTTAATGTTAAAAATAAATAGAATATAAATATTATTTCGTCTGCTAGAGTCAAAGCGAATGTGTGTGTGTTTACATGATAAAAGAAATAAATTTGTATCGAGTGTGCCACAACATGCCATATTTAGGTCAGATGATTTAAAACCTATATGAAAAGGTCCCACTTGATAAAATTTAAAAATGTACCTGTATGAACTGTGATTGTAAGACACATTGGAATCCAATTTTCTCTTTTTATCTCTTTCATATGAATATGATCTTGATCGAGACCTAGTATAGTCTCTGTGATCTCTACCCCTTGAAGATTCAGATCTAGATCTAGTTCTAGATCTATTTCGTCTTTTATTACGCGGCATCTGAAAACAGTAAGAAACGAATGAGGTACAACAACAACAACAACAAAAATACAGGAAGACAATATACATTGACTCGTAATAATAATAATAATATTAATCTAACCTACTTATTAAAAACTGGTTATCATTTAAAATGTAATTGATTAATAATCGAATAGACACAATTATTTAATAATAAATATTGATTAATGTTGGTAATAACACGCACCCTAATGCGTATTCTAAATTAAAGTTAATTACGACAAATTTTTCAAAAAATATCCATATGGCCCAAAAAGAAAAATTATAATAGCTCTTCGTACGTACGAGTTTCAAGTCTTGCATTTACGATCAATCTTAAACGTGATTTTACAACAAACACTCAATTAAAATTATGAAAAAAAAACTAAATGAGAACTTATTGATGATGAAATTAAACATATGTGTACATGTATATTTATTTAAAATTGAAAACCGATCATCTATAGAAATGCAAGTGGTGGTCGTGACAAAATTTCGTGGGAACGCCATTTTTGTTACCATTTCACGTAAACCCAATAAATTAATAATCGAGTTTTAATGTACAAAATTACTAAAAAAATACAACTTACTTTGATCCTTTTAAAACTTTTAAACTTGGACGTAACGAAATTAATAATAGGAATCAAATAATTTTCATAAACGAAACCTTGAACAAAATCACTACCTACAAGCGTCGTCAAGGACATCAGAATCGATTTCAAAACAAAATGGCGGTCGTAAATTCAAAATGATATTTTTAACCATTAACAAACATCGTTTATTACGATCGAATTAATTAAACGCGATTTTCATTTTGTAAAATAAATTTATATAAACATTTTAATAACGTGTTGACGATTTTTACGTCTTTTTTTTTTAAATATCGAATATTGGTTGTGTTATGGAATTAAGACACGACATTGACTAGAGTAGTAAGTAATAATACATTTCCGGTTAAAATGTGTGCGACTGCATCTTTCCTTAACGCACCACAAAAAAAAAAAAAAAAAAATTTAAATTTAATTATAAAAATTCCTTACGCGTCACTCATAATCCTATTAATATATTAATTAATAAACGATAATTAATAAATAAATCGAAAAAATAATTTACCTAAGTGAAAAAAGAAAAAATTAATTTTGCCTAATGTGATTTTTAACTGTTGTCAATAATTTTCTTTCAATTTCTAAATAAAAATTAATTAAATACCCCCTCCCCCCCAAAAAAAAAAAAAAAAATAAAAATTTCACCTTGAAAAAGACAATGAAAAAAATTCACTTCTTAGCAAAAATTCAACAAAGAAGACGATCCAAGCAAAAAATATGATGCATGCAGCACTCTTATACAAAGACTTAATATAAATAAATATACGTGTATCAAATTCCTACCAGATTTTTCCTATGTCCCATAGTTTTAGATTTTGTCAATGAAAGTGCAGTTTTAAATTGTTTATTTTTTTTTTTCAAAGCTTTCAATTGTTTTATGTTACTCTCACTTCCACCGATTATTCCTCCTGTATTAATGGCTCTTGTGATCCATAATGAACCCGGTTTGAAATGTTCCTCAGGTTTTTGTGTATCCTTTTTTGTTTTTTTAACAAGAATTTCCTACAACAAACAACAACAAAAAATTAATTAATTGCTTTAACCCTCTCACAACAACAACAACCAAAACATTTCATTCTTACAACTACAATATAAAGTAAATAATCAATTTTTCATATGGACCCCCTTCTTCCTCCCCCCCCCAATTAAAAATTATTAACAACAGCAAAAAAAATTACAAATTATTCAATGTTATTTTAAAGTATGTAACTTTCTAAAAGTCTTTTATTAATTTTTTTTCCCCCCCCCCCAAAATTTGAATTTTTAAATTAAATATTATTTTAACAAACAAAAAGTTAAATATTTATTTGTTTGTTTGTTTGTTTGTTTGCTTAAAAAACTACAAACTCTTATAATTTTTTTTTTTTTTTTTTATTGACATTTTACAAATGTCAGCATAAAAATTTATTATTAAATATTTTTAAACATTTTGTTAACGTCGTGAGTATTCCATTACGCTTTCTTTTCTTTTCTTTTATTATAAATTTGAAAGAATAATAATAATAATAATAATAATAATGATAATAATAATAATAATAATAATAATAATAATAATGTCTCATTTAAAATAAAAAAAAAAAAAAATGAGAACAATGGTCATGGCTTTTAATTTTTTTTTTTAAAATTATTTTAAAAATATTTAATAATATTATTATTATTATTATTAATCGATTAATTTCGATATAATCGATATTTATTAATCGATCGATAAATAATTAATAATTTAAAAAATTATTCACGTTAAATTAAAACGAATAATTTAACGATTAATGTGTATTTATTGCATACGAAAAAGAAAGGAAAACAAAGATGGCCGCCATAATTATATATGAAAGAACCTCTTTCACGCATAACGACAGCATTAAATAATAATAAAACGATTATTAATTATCGATCGATATATCGAAACGTATCGATATTCATTGATTAACGTTTTTATAAAAAAATCATTCGAATATGTATATATAGACATCGAAACGTGCGGAATGATTGATTGATACATATATGTTATTACCTCGTAAGCGAATTTCAAGTCGTCCATTTTGAATTTACCACAAAATTAACGGATTTTTCCAGCAACAGCAAAAAAACTAATAAATTCTTCGTAAAAAATTTTTCTTTCATGTATTCCTTCCTAAAACAAAAAACAATAAGAAATATAATATTTTTCATGTAAATATCAATTTTCTCCTTTTTTTTAAATTTAACGGTTAAAATAATCGATATTCGTTATATAAAAAAAACAATGTAATAATAATAATAATAATAATAAATATGTATATATTATTCAAATCGTTTCGTTTTCTAATAATAATAATAATATTTTATCGTTTTTTTTTTTACTCTAATAATGATAATAATAATCGTTATAAATTATATTATTATTATTATTTGTTTGTCATTTTATATCATTAACAAAGTTATTATTATGACTTTACGTTTAATAATAATAATAATCATAGATCCAAATATATACAATTTTCATACATAAATAAATAAATAAATAAATAATAATGATAATAATAATGATATTAATTAATTAATTATACTGATAATTTTTATGAATAACAAAATATTAAAAAAAAAAAAAGAAAATTTTTTTAAATGAGAATAATAATAATAATAATAATAATAATAATAAATAAATAAACGAAATGAAAATCAATAAATTTCGGTATCCTAGCAACGACGTGACAAGTGGCGCCTAAAGCGCAGGCTTTTAGAAACAACAATTTGCGTTCTGCTTCTTTTCCCAGTCGCATGCCTCCTCTTTTTTTTTTTTTTTTTGTCTCAACGACTTCGTCGTCGTTTCGTTTTCTGTTATTTTTTATTTTATTATTATTATTATTATTATTTTCGTTAACCTTTTTTTCTCTCTCTCTCTCTTTCTCACACACACACGGACACGCACGCATACTATAATTTCGTAAGTTTAACAAAGAGAGAAGAGAGAAAAAAAAAAAAAAATTCGTTTTACTTTGCCGGGAGAAAGTCGTCGTTTTTCTTCCGAATATTAATGATGATGATGACGAAGTTGATCGTATTCGCCGCGACCACCGCGCTGCCGTCGTCGTTGTCGTCATCGTCATCATCGTTGTTGTTGTCGTCGCGTCGTACGCGTTCATGAAACATTCGCGATAAATAAACGCGCGCGAACGATGATGATAATAATAATAATAATTAATATTCGTTCGTTATTTTAAATTAAAATAATAATAATAATAATAATATAAACGCGCGTTTATATATATTTATTATATAAATAATGTACTCGTGTATTTATTAAACACGCGTAATCGTTTCGTGCGTTTTTTTTAGTTTTAAATAAAAACGCGCGCCAGCGCCGTGTATGCGTTTTTTTTTTTGTTGTTGTGAAATTTAAGTGTGTGTCGTCATCATCGTCGTCGTCGTCGTCGTACGTAATAGACGAAATCTCATAGAAGAAAAAAAAACACGCGGACACAGTGCGGCGTCTGAGAGATAGAGAGAGAGAGAGAGAGAGAGAGAGAGAAAAGGATATTAACACGCACTCACTCACTCGCTCACTCACGCACACACACACACACGCGCGCGCTCGCGCTCTCTCCGCGCACATGTTTATATATATATTTTTTTTTTTCCCCGTTGTTAATGTGAAAAATAATAAAAATAAAAATTTTTTTTACATGTGATAATAACAATAACAATAACAATAATAATAATAATAATAATAATAATAATAATTTAAAGTTTTTTTTTTCGCGTCGTTTTTTTTTTTTTTTTTAGTGATTTACCAGGGAAAATTTTTTTTTTTTTTTTTTTTTTTTTAATATCAAAAGTGTGGTTTTTATCTTTCTTCAACCTCCGCTCTACTTCCCCTCCGCCCCTCACTCACTCACTCATTCATTCATTCAATCCTCTATTCCCTACACAATCAATCATTCAATCATTCATTCGTTCATTCATTCATTCTCTCTCTCTCTTTTTACGAATAATTAATATAAATATACGTTCGAGAATTTATACAGAAATCGGTGCGTGTCATTTGTGCGTGAATTCATCAGTATTATTATTATTATTATTATTATTACTATTATTAAATGAATTTATAACAATTTCAATAATAAAATGATAATGAGTAGTTTGACCAAAGACATGACAAATCAAACGATTAATTTAGCCGAATCTTTCATACAGAACAGTAATAATAATAATAATAATAATAATAATAATAATAATAATAATAATAACAATAGCAGTACCGGTGGTAGTAGTAGTAGTAGTAGTAGTAATAATAGCGATACGCCGGATCAAAATCCCAGGTCAGTTCAATTTATTTTATTTTATTTCATTTTATTTTGCGTGTGCGTGCGTGCGTGTGCGTGCGTGTGCGTGTACGAGTGCGTGAGAGTATTTATAACGATTTTTAATTATATAATTTCGGCCATTATTTTTTGTTTTTGTTATTATTTTATCATAACCTCATATCGTAAAAAAAAAAAAAAAAAATGTTTTTGTTATTATTATTATTATTATGTGATTTAATGTAATAATAATAATAATAATAATAATAATAAAAAGCTCGTGCGAATGTGCGTGCGTGTGTGCCGGTAGAAAGAAAAAAAGAAAAATTTAAAATTAGGTTACGTAAAATATCGATTCGTTGTTATTTTCCTGACCCTCTCCCCTCTCCCCCCTTTGACCTCCCCTCACTTCCTCACTTCCCCCCGCGGTTATTTATATATTACATGAGTGTGCGTGTGCGTGTAAATTATATATAAATATCTGGCGAGTGGAATAATAATAATAATAATAATAATAATAATAATAATAATAATAATAATAATAAAAACCGGTATCGACACGTTTGTAACAGAATAATTCAAAAACGAATTATATATATATATTTTGCATAATTTTCTTTTCTTTTCCTTTTTTCCTTTTTAAATAATTTTTACGATTGCAATTTCGTCACGTATTATTATTATTATTATTATCATTCACACACGTGTGAAAGAAAAGAAAAGAAAATTGTAGAAAATTAAATTAATTATTAATTTTTGCATTTGTAATGAATAACCGAGAAGAAAACGTTTTTCCAACGAAAAAATAATAATAATAATAATAATGACAAGGAAGGGTAAGAAATGAGAGAGGGGAAGGGTGAAGGGGGGGGGAAGGGAGGGAAAAAATTAATAATTAAAATGTCGAAAAAGGGAATAAAGAAAAAAAAAAAAAAGAAAAAATGGCGAATAAGACGAAAAGAGACCGCATGCAATTGAAATAAGTCAAAGTACAAGGCAAAGCCATTAAAAATTTTGCCATTCGTAAGTACGGACGGACGGACGAACGATCGGACGGTCGTGTGCGTTTCTTTTTTTTTTTTAAGGAAACGCGCGTATTTGAAAGAGAGAGATAGAAAGATAGAGAAAGAAAGAGATAGAAAGATAGAGAAAGAGAGAGAGAGAGAGAGAGAGAGAGAGAGTGTGTGAGAGTGAGAAAAAAAAAAGAAACGCACACGACAAAACGTTTTAATATACGCGTAAACGTCGTATTAATAATCGTTGTTAATCGATTATTATTATTGTTACGAGAATAAGGAATTATCGCGTGGAGACAAAAAAAATATATCGAATCGAATCGAATCGAAAAAAAAAAAAAATGGAGTCTTTAATAATTAACGACGATGATGCGTACGTGTATTAATATTATTATTATTATTTTAATTTTTTTTTTTTTTTTTACGGGATTTTTAATCGGTTACGATTACGTTTTACAACCCTTTTTCTCCCCCCCACACACACACACACACCCCCGCCTAAAAGCACACGCACGAACATAACCGACCGTTATTCCTTTACCCGTTTTGATAATAATGATAATAAATCTGTTGTTTTTTTGTTTTTTCCAGTTCGGTCGAATTGAACGAAAGGAGTAACGTCGCTCACAATAATAAAGTTCCTACGAAAAACCTATCTTCTATCTTTTCGACGGGTCAAATAAAACCGGGTAACTATCAGGGAACTTCGAAACTCTTAGAAATCCACGATGTGCCCAAATATTTGCAATTTAATCCCTACATACAAACGGGATACAGGAAAATGCTGTCGACGAAAGCATCCATTAAAAGTTTGTTTTATTTTCACAACGAGACCATCAACATACTTTCGCACGGTGAGTGAAATTGTCGTTGTTTTTAAAATTTTTTTCGGGGCCCTTTTCTGTTTTCCCCCCCCCCTTCCCCTCCCCTCAACTTCTCTCCCCCAGTGATTTAGTCCTCGGTCGATTTTTCGCGAATGGGGGGGGGGGGGAAAAAAACCTACGTCGTCGTCGTCATCGTCGTCATTATTTAAACTTAACGGTTGCGTGTGGAATAATATTAATATTAATAATAATAATAATAATAATAATAATAATAATCATGCGAGAAACGAACGTTTTTCGAATCGAAAAATTTAAAAATAATAACGGAAAAAATTTCCGTTAGAATCGGAAAATCGTCTTCTTTTTTTTTTTTTACGAACGAACGTTTCTCTCTCTCTCTCTCTCTCTCTCTCTGATAAGAATCATATTTGGGTTATGAATTATTATTATTATTATTATTCTTCGATTATTCCTACGACAAACTTATTATTATTATTAGTTTCTCTCTCTCTCTCTCTCTCTCTCTTTTTCTCAAAGAAAATTGTTTTTCGACACGCCATTATTCGATTTATTAGTTTGCCGGATAAGGTAGATTATTGGAAAGTTAATAACCTTAACGAAAATGATAATGATGATAATAATAATAATAATAATGATAATAATAAAAACCCGTGCGATTATTATTATTATTATCGAAATCGCCGAACGCGTCGACAATTAATAATAAAAATGAGCGAAAAAAAATGAAAAAAAAAAAAAAAAAAAAATTAAAATTTAATTTTTTTTTTTTTTTTTTAACGGCTTTTTTATGTGACGTAATTAAAATGTTGATAATTATAATTAATGATCGATCGATCGATTGATCGGGTATCACGGGAGGGAGATAGGGGAAGGGGGAGAAAGGGTGATGGGAAAATTATTATTATTATTATTTTTTGTAATTAATACCGAGTAACGTAAAGTTAAAATTTCATTTTTTAAAAATTTGGAGGGCTTACGAAAAAAAAAAAGAAGAAAAGATTTTAATTCGATTAAAGTAGTAGTGGTAGTGATTAATTATTTGTTCAATGATTCCCGATCACTGCGGTAGTCATAAAAAAAACTTTTAAACTCGTTTTTTTTTTTCTTCTCTCTCTACTTTTACGACAGCCTTTACAAAAAAAAAAAGGAAAAACTTTTAAAAAAAAGGAAAAAGGTTAAAATATAAAAGGTTAGTTTTTTTTTTCTTCCTAAATCGAAATCACCGCAACCTTTTGAAATACACAATATCAATTTTTATAAATTTAAATTTAAATCGAATAAACGACGACGATGACGACAAGATGGCCGCCGCGGAATCGGAAATTTGTCATTCTTAAATATTTTATTTAAGGGTTTAAAAAGGTTTTTTCTTTTTTTTTCTTTTTATCATTCACCACTATATTATTATTATTATTATTACATTTATTGTCATCACGAAAGGAAAAAAAAAACACGAAAAGACACGAAAAAAACCGAATTCCCCCCTCCTTCCCCCTTGTATAATTTTTATGTGCGAAAAGAAACGATTTTAATAATTTAATTCTTTTGGCACGTGAACGAGATGTATTAAACATTAAAAAAAACTTTTCCCTATTTTCATCCCTCTTCCCTACCTCTACCTTCTACCCACCCTCGTTTTCCTTTTTCTCACTTTCGAAAAAAAAAAAAAAAGAAAAGGGGGTAAAAGGTCAAAGGTCAAAGGGTGGCGGCGGTGGCGGTGAAGGGAACGGAAAATAAAGAGAATCGAAAAAAATAAAAATAAAAGTAATTGAATAAAACGATAGAAAGAAAGGAAGGGGGAGGGGAGGAGGGGATGGGAAAACAAAATGGACACACGCAAGCGGAAAAAGAAGAAGAAAAAGAAGAAGACGTTGTCGTAAACATATTGAGAGAGAGAGAGAAAGAGAAAGAGAGAGAAAAACAATTTTCTTTACAACTAATATTCTCATCCATCCATTCACTTCAACAACACGAGAGAAACACAAAAATTATTATTATTATTATTATTATTTTTAATTTCTTACTTTTTCCTTTCCTTTCCCATTTTCCTTTTCCGTTCGCGACGAGTAAGTAGAAAAAATTAAGTATTTTCCACCGGAAACTACGACGACGACGATGATGATGATGATGATGAAAACAAAAAAATCTTCTTTCTCCATCTCCGTCTCTCTCTCTCTCTTTCTCTTTCTCCAGAAGATGAAGAACAAGTAGAAGAAAAACGAAATGAAAATCTTTTTCCTTTCTTTTCATTATTATTATTATTATTATTATGGAAATAAAAACTTTTCCGGAGAAGAACGCCTGTAAAAAACAAAAAAAGAAACGTTAATAATAATAATAATAATAATAATAATAATAATAATAATAATAATGAAAAAGATTTCGTATTCCGGTCGTTGAAAAAATAATATACACGATACAAAATCATTCGAAACCTTCCCCCCCCTTCCCCCGATATTTTTGACAGAAATAATGATGACGTCACGTAATTTTTTTTTTTTTTTGCTTTGTTTTCCTTCTGCTTTCGCATCGACCTTTGAATTATTAAAAATAGGATGGGAAGGAAAGGGGAAGGGGGAAGAGGAAGGAAGGAGAGAAGGGGAAGGAAAAAGAAAGTTTTTTTCCCCGATCGTGAAGAAAATTTTAAAAAGAGAAATGCGAAACGTTTCAACGGAAAAGGAGGGAACGAACGAACGAACGAACGAACGAACAAACAAACAAACCAACAACACGCCGGAAAATTTCATTTACGTAACAAAAAAAAAAGAATAACAGAGAGAGAAAGAGAGAGCGAGAGCGAGAGAGAGAGAGAGAGAGATAGAAATTTTTCGTTCGGAAATATATTTAAACGAATGTAAAAATATTGTCGTTGTTTAAAAAACAAACGAGATAAACGTTTTTTTTTTTTTTTTTTTTTTTTTTATCACATACTGGAAAGATCCGACAAATCAAGTCAAAAATAAAACCGGAAACGTGACGTTTTAAAACGAAATTGATTGTTTTTCATTTCCTCCCCCCCATAAAAAAAATCCTTTCGTTTCGTTTAAAAATAATAATGATGATGATGATGATGATGATGAATAAGGTGGAAAATGGTGGACATTTTTTTTTTTTTTCGTCACGCATCCTGTCCTGGAATAAAACGGGAATCATCGAAAAAAAAAAATATATATATATATATATATATAAATTAATTTTCCTTTTTAACGAGAAGGAGGAGGGGAAGGAAAAGGAGTAGGATGCTTAACCCTTTTTCATTCACCCTTTCCTCCCCGGAGGTAATAATAATAATAATAATAATCGTTTACGTCGTCGATTAAATTTTAAAATTGCGATAAATCGAAATCGATATTTGATTTGATTGATTCGATTTTTTTTAAACGTAATAAAACGAAAAATGAAAAGTTAAATTAATTAAAAAAAATAAAAAAAGGGAGGGAGGGGGTAGGTGTGGGAGGGGAGAAGGAAAAAGGAGAGAGGAATGAGTATGTTTAGGTTAAAAGTTAATAATGGAGTTGGAGAAAAAAAAAATGGAAATTTTTTTATTTAAAAATAAAAAAAAAAAAATAAATGGCGTCAAATCACGGAATGATAAATAAATTTAGATTTATAAAAAAAAAGAGAGAGAGAGAGAGAGAATATAATTTAATTTGCATTTTTGGAATCGGAAAAGATTTTTGGAATGCAAAATGCAAAAAAAAAAAAAAGAGAGAGAGAGAGAGAGGGGAGCGGGGAGAAGCAGCAAGAGAGAAAGGGAAAGGAAAGAGAAAAAATGAAAAGAAAGAGAGAGTGAGAGAGAGAAGGAAAGAGAAAGGATTAGAAAGAGAAAGAGAGAGGGGGGGAAAGAAATAAAGAAAAAATACCAAGATAGAGAGAAAAAAAGAAGGAAAGAGAAAGAGAGAGAGAAGAAAGAAGAAAAGAGAAAAGATTAGAAAGAGAAAGAGAGAGAGAGACGTATTAATTAGTCACCAAAAACGGTTTTTTTTTTTTTGGACTTAACTCCCTTATAAAATTTTCGTTCCAGTTCCTTTTTTTTGGAATTTACATTTTGAAGATTTACGTTTCCAGCAAAAAGAAAGATAAGAAATTAAAACATTCGTTTCCCGTTTTTTTTTTTTTTTTTCTCCAGGATTTCCGATAGTTTACATATTATGGACGGTGCCATCATTGATACCATGGGATAAAATAAATTCAACATTCCTACCGATTTGTCACATCGTAGGAAGCGTGACGCCTTGGGTCGGAAGTTTCCTGTACCATTTATTCATGAATCACACTCGAGGAGAAAAACTTTACAGGAGGTTGTTGCAAGTGGACATGATAGGAATATGGGTGACACAAAGTTTCGGTGAGTGAGTGATTGATTGATTGATTGATTGAAAAAAAACTTTTCTAGCACTCACATACCTGTACGACGATGACGACAACTCCATAAAAAGAATTTTTTTTTCCTTTTCAGGGGCTTTGCCCATGGTCTGCACGACTTCATTTTGCTTTCCCTGGATCATCAAATGGTTTGTAATATTGTCTTATTGCCTTATGTCGGTGTGGGGACTTCATAAGGTTCGTATATATCGCACAAGTACTACTCGTGATAATAATAATAAATTTTCTTCCCTTCCAATCCTTTTCTTTGTCTTTCCAGGCTGTGACTGCTTGGTCTCCATGGGATAGGCGTATGTGTTTCGCATTGCCTTTTATAACTAGGCTCGGATTGACGTTATTGAGAGCCACCGGAATCGGCGGTGGAGATTCCTCCGTTTTAGGAAGCGTTTTCTTACAAGTAAGTAAAACATCCAAAGAAGACGACGATGATGATGATGATGGCGACGACGTTAATAAAATTTTCTCGAACGGTCGGTCGCCAACGAACGTCTGGATCGACTAAAAGTAAATAATAAACAAAATGGCGAGAATAAAAAAATCAATAAATAAAATATTCGATGAAAGAAAAACGTTGGAAAAACTTACTTTTTGAAAAAAAAAAAAAATCCCCGCGAAAATTATCGATTGGCATTGATTCCGCGACGGTTATTTATTTTTATGTTAATTATAGATAATAATAATAATAATTTTTTTAATTATCGATAACGACGTCGTCGTTTTAATTTTCTCCTTTACGATTTCAAATCCGATGAATGAAATAATAATAATAATAAAATTTTCTTCTTTTATTGACGTCACGCGACAAAGTACGTTCACGGATTGACATGTTTATAAAGAAAAAAACGTTTATTTCCGGTTCGTTGGAAATTTTTCATTCGTTCGTGAAATTATTTTCTCATCGTCGTCATCATTGCCTACAAAATATATAATTGATGAGTTATATAATGGAGGATGATAGATCGATCAATCGATCGATTAATCGATCTGTCAATCGATAATCGCCATTCTCCTCACCTTTTTTTTATGTTTTAGGATTTTGTATCGCTCGTGGGTGGTATAATCGGTGCCATAAACATACCGGAAAGATGGTTTCCAGGACAATTCGATTATTGTTTCAATTCTCACAACATAATGCACGTTTTGGTCGTTCTCGCCGTTTATTACATGCATCACGCGACGGTTGCCGATTTAAAATGGATGGCAACGGTTGATTGCGGCGGCGGAGGTGGCGCCGGTGGCGGTGGTCAATCTGGAAAACACGTCCGATGATTCAAATTCAAATTAATCCTTATTATTATTATTATTAATACAAATGATAATGATAATAATAATAATTCAAAATCAAAAATGATAATAATGATAATGATAACAACAAAAAAAAATTATTGATGATGATGATGATGATGACTACTTACAATTTTTTTTTTTTTTTGTTTTTCGCTTTTCTTTTTTCTTTTTTCTTTTTTTTTTATATATACATACATATATACATATAAATAAAATTTAAAAAAATAAAAATTCTCACGGTTATTAATAAAAAAAAAAAAATAATAAAAAATTTTATAGAGACGATGATGCATTTAGTTCCCAAACTTCGAATTTGGTGAAGGGGGAGAAAGAAGGGGGTGGGGGTCAAGTAATAACAATAATAATAATTATTATCGTTATTACAAACAAGAGCAGCTCAATTTGCTAGTATACGTAGGGTAGCGTAATAATAATAATAATACATTTCTAAGCCTTTACGAAAACACAAAAAACTTATTACGTAATAATTATATTATTATTATTATTATTATTATTATTATTATTATTATTATTATTTTAAGCGATTTTTGAATGATGACTTTTCATTGAGAAAAAAAAGATTTTGTAGGTAATATTATAAGGCTGTGATAATAAATTAAATCGTGTAATGAATTTGAAATGGACGAAAAAATTCGATGTTGATTAATAAATGAACGGGGGGAACGGGGGGAGGGGGTAGGTAATGTAAATTTTGAAATTTTTACCATGTGGGAGGGGATGGGGGCGGGGGAGGAAAGGGGAAGGGAGGGGGTGG